CAGGAATGAGTTTTATGTCCTCCTTTCCTTTCAGCCTCTTGAGAAGGGTATGGATTCTTTGGTGGATTGAACCACTCTCTGTTTCAATTCCAGGATGAAGGGATCTAAAAGAACATAAGGGTGTGAGGCGCATATAGTTAAAAGATTTTACTTTCATGTAAAAGTTGCTTTACCCAGTCAGAGAGTATTTGTTGCAGGTGAGCCTGCACAGAGGGATGGTTGGATGTGACTGTGTGGCCCTCAGTCTTGTACTAACTGTGCATGGTGTGAGGAAGATAGGGCACTGAGACAAGGCACAGGGCAGGATCCTGAGCTCTCTGCACAGACTAATCTCTCATCCAGCATTCAGCCCAGCTGCAGACATGGGAACTTTAGGAATGCAGGAGCAGGATGGAGTTGTGCATCTCAGTTAACAAAAACACATTTGTTGAGCAAAGGTGAATCATGACCCACAAAACAAAAGGACTTGCTGTTTTCTTTCCCATAAATACTGATTTTCAAAACCTCTGGGAGAGGATTTAGTGTTCTCATTTATAATGGTAAAAGTGAGGGAGAGCAGCAGGTTTGTATACAGTGGAAATAACCATGACAGAAAAATAACTGATGTCTGTTATACGGAGGGACAGTTTGACTAGGTGTCGTGCTTTGAAATCAGAACTGAATGCCAAGCCTTTCCCTCTTCCTTATTCTGATGAATATTCCATATCAAGTGCAATGCTAACTTAGTATTGATCGATTTTATTTTTTTTTCAGTAAAGAAGCACATCTCCATGCTTCAATATAGTTATAAAAATCAGTGTTTATTCTTACACCATTCTTTGCAGAATCAACAGCAGCCCAGGAGAGACTTATCGTTTCAGTGGGTTGGTCACCTGCTCTGTGTGGTGGCTGGAGACATGGAGTTACCAACATACTTGACTCCAGACAAACTCTGGAGTGAAGTCAGGGTGCCAGCGTGTCTAGCATGACTGTGCTTTGTGGAAGGCCCTCTCTTGCTGTATTGCCAAGATATTCAATGCCTGGAAACATTTGCAAACAATGGTCCCCAAGAAAGGAGCTGTGACTGTGCAGAGGAAGCTCACTAACTGGGATTGATGTCAGCAGGGATGGATACTGACTGAGCACCAGCATCTATCAGGCTAGCACTGGTCGCTGCCCGTCTGCACTCACCCATGGAAGCTTGTGTGGCATGGGCCTGGGGAGAGTGTGCCCATTTGTCTTTCTCTTGGGATCTGTGATAAAATATAAATCCTATCATTCCACTTTATGAGAAAAAGCTTTGCAATCCCAGGAGTGCTTCCATGGAAAGAGGACACTTATAAATATACAAAAATACTCAGCAGGATTTAGTTTTCTGTAAAAGAAAACATGACTGTGACATATCACCCAAGAACGGGGAATCATTTTTCTTTGATGCAAAATTGCTTAGTCTCAGAAATAACACTTGTATGCAATTTTGTGCAGATAGGACCTGGGTTTTTTAATGACATCAACCCAGCTTTTAATTTTGCAGGTGTAAATTGCACCTGCAAATCATTTTGTCTGCAAACTGCAGCATTTCATATTTGATTTCCTGATTTCCTATGGCTTCCTTAACTGATGTCAGTTATTTCGATATACAGCTTTGCAGGCACTACTATTTCAGGAATAAAATTGCAGTCTCAAAGCTCAAACCCATTTCTGAACGTTTGATGGAAGTGAGGAGTTAGGCCATATAGCCAATTCGCTGTTCATACAAATCTTTGTGTACTATCCTCCAGTAGGAGAATAGTGTTGGTTCTCATGGCAGAAGAGTGTACATCTATGGTATCTGTTGAACAACTTGATCAAACCAAGAAACTGCAGTTTACAGCAAAATTCCTGGTTGTGTTTCTAATACATGTTCTTGTGAATAACATTTTGTCAGTATCAGTATCAAGTTTGCACTTTTAAGAGCTTTACTCACTATTGCGTCTCTTCTTCTAGCTCTGTTTTCAAAAACAAGCCAATTACCTAGTCTGAAGTTGCCAGTTATCTGTTTCTTAATAGCGTCTCTAGGGTGTAGGCATTTCCCTAGTGAGCTGTGTATCTATGTAGGCACCAATGCTGTCAAAGCTCTGGGCAAGTTCCTCACCACTGCCACAGAAGATTGCATTTTTAAATTCTCAGCCCTTGCATGCTTTCTAGGAAGTAGCTGAGATGTAGTTAACTCAGCTGCAGTAAGAGTTTCCAAAACTAAGCATTTCACAGTAAAAAGTACATAGAGATTTAGTTTCTTGGCAGCCACAGAGAGGTTGCCAGATTGATGTACAGAAATCCAGAGTTTTCTCCTGACCCTGAGATGTGCCAGGATGTGCAGGGGATCGAGGTGGGGACAGTGCTAACTGCCCAGTGCCTTGGTTCCCCAGCACACCTCAGCCGTGGATGGCAGGACAAGAAGGTGGTTCTGGTTCAGGCATCCTGGGTCTGTGCTGTGATTTCCTAGAAGGAGAGGGTTGAGGTCTGGCATCACCTGTTGATCAGGAGTTGGATGGAGACCTATAAGCTCATGCCATGTTGTCCTCTGAGAGCAGAAGTCTCCCAGCACTGCTGCTCCCTTTGTGCTATAGGGTGACATTCAACTCCGTTAACTTTAGAGCATGGTAAGGTTATGGGTCTAGTAACACATCATCAAACTGCACCTTGGTAGTTTTGTATTGCCAAAACCTTGTTGTTACATAGAATTGTAGAATAGTTTCAGTGGGAAGGGATCTTCTGAAGGCCATCAAGTGCACTCGCCCTGCAATGAGCAGGCACATCTTCAGACAGAACATGTTGCCCAGAGCCCCCTCCAACATGACCTTGAATGTGATTGAAAGCAATTACTCAAACACAGTTATTTTATGCCTAATTTGTTGATGTGTTCATAGTTTACCTCCATGTTTTACTTACAGTCTTTTGTGATTTTAACAGGGTCGGCATGTTAAGACTGGGCAGCTAGCAGCAATCAAAGTGATGAATGTTACTGAGGTGAGTACAAAACCAAAGATTAAAAGGTTGTTGTTAAGATGCAAGGAAAAATAAATAATCAGATCATGAGAAGGCAGATAGCTTATAAAAGAAGATCCAGTGGTATAAATTATGGCTCTTGAGCACTGGTTTATATTTTATAAAGTACTGAGGGGTGTTGACACAACCAGTTCTTTCAACTGTACCAGACCAATGGTGACAAAGTGATAAGGGACTGCATTGCCCTATGTTTTGGTGGTCTTTTCCTGCTTATTTCTGGTTGATTATCTGTTTCCAGAGATAGCAAGCAAAAGATTTCCTGTAGCTCTGCACTGCCCCTGCTATGTTTCATCACATCCTCTCCCCTCGCATGCCAGCCACTCCTTGGAGGAGCTGCCCTGACAGCCTGCAAGTTAGAACATGTTAGAAATGCAAATGTAGCACTTTTCTGTTGTGATTTGACAGATGAGAGAAGGAGACAGTTTAATTGGCACTGTCCCTGCTCACATTTATAAAGTGGTGTCAGTGCTGGAATAGGGTGTTAAAAAAAAGTTGCTAAATACTGGGTTTTGTTTCTCCTGTTAAGAGTACAGCCAGCAGTGGAGCAGCATGGCTCCTTGAGAGAATATTAGCCTGAGCCCCAGGAAGGTTGGGGAGACTCCCTGCTTCTTCCTCTTGAGTTTACTGGAAGGCTGTGGTTTGGTTGGATGCACCTAGTCTCACTAAGACCAGCTCCCTGTTCGGTTACTCTGGCAGTGAAGATACAGAGAACAGAACTCCAAGTCTTCTTGCAATATTGTGGGAGGGTTATCATCTGAAATTAAAAAATGCTTGCCTGCATTTTCATGTGTCTTTTGGCTGGCTTGGAAGGCAGCAGAACAAGTTGGTGTCTGAGTTGATCCTGTCACATAGAGCAGGTCCAGGACAGTTCTCTTTGTCAATGGTGTGACAATCCAGCCCTGAGCAGCAAGTGGTGTGAATTGCACATTGGTGATCTGAACGTGGATGCTACTGTAAAGTAGCACAGAAAGTTCCACCTGAATGTGAGGAAGAACTTCTTTACTGTGCAAGTCACTAAACACTGGAACAGATTGCCCAGAGAGGTCATGGATTCTCCCTCACTGGAGGTATTAAAGAACTATCTGGACACAATCCTGAGCCATATGCTCTAGGGTGACCCTGCTTGAGTAGGGAGGTTGGACCAGATGATCTTTGTGGTCCCTTCCAACCTAGCTGATTCTGTGATTCAGTAATGTACAAAGCATACCTGTGGGCTGGTTTGACCATGGCTGCTATTTGTACGATGTTCAAGTGTAGCTGAATTAGTTCTGCTCTTTCTGCACAGAGGAGGGTACATTTTTTTAATGAGTGCTACACTAGACTGGTGGGATTTTTGCTTTTAGCTCTGTAGGTACATATATCATCAGGTGCTTTGGCTTTAAAAAATGGCAGTCATCAAACTTGAGGCTTCTGGGTTTTGGAAGGGAGAAGGCGTAGGGTTTGGGTCACAGTCAGATCCCTGAGATCAGAGCATTTCTCTGCCCTGACAGAGGAGCTGACAGGATGGATCCTGGCATGGACTCAGAAGTGATCCAGAGCTGCAGTATGGGCTTCTTTCTTGCTTTGCTGGGTTCACTCAACAGAGTGAGAGGGATGGTCAAAGATGTCACTTGTGGGCTGTCACGTTAACACCAGTGACAGTCCCTTCCTTGATGAAACAACTGGAGAAAAAACTGCAGGAAGGGAACCTTGGAAGTATTTCCTTCCCTTTGCTATACATAACATAGTCTTCTTTGTATGCAAGCAACAAACTGTAGCATCCAGTAATGCCTGCTTACTGGGAAACAAAACTTAAGTGGAGGACAACCATGTGGTCCAGCTTCAGGAATTACCTTGGTAGGCTTGAATGATTTTGGGACCAAAACCAGCTGTTGAGGTGTGATTTGCTGCTTCCTTGCAGGCTAGAGAGCCAGCATCATACTGAGGAACCTGCTCCATTGCTTGAGGGGTAATGCTAGCAGATCATGCTGTTTATGCATTGAGTCCCTTCATGCAAAGGTTTGGGATTTGAGTGGGGAGCATGATGGTGCAGCTGCCCAAAGAGGTTTGCCCTGGTGCTGTTGCCCCACTAAACCCTGAGCAATTCCTGCTCAGCTGTACTCAAATGTTTCTGCTTTCTGGCCTTGGCACAGTGTGAATGCAAGGCTTTCTGCTGTTATTTCCACTTTCCTGATGGGGTGTTGGCTGTCTTTCTGCACAGGCTGGCAGACCTGAATGCAGTCACTTCTGCCACTTCTGTCACTTGTTCATCAAAAGATTCTGACTCTTTCACCAGATCTACAGGGTTTCTTTTTCTAACAAGAAGGCATTTAATCAGAAATTGCCTGACCAGCTCCAGCTGTGATTGCTCAGATCTGGGAGACACCAAGAGCTAAGCAAATCTGCCCTTTACTGTCGTGAGGTGCAGCCCCGGGCTGTTTTTTTAAGAGCAGCAGCAGGATGCTGTGGTCATTGTGGGATCCTCTGGACATCTGTCAGGAAGTGCTGCTGTGTCATTTTGCAGGGGGAGCAGGGAGAACCCTTTGAAATGGCTAAAGGGAGCTGATGGCAACGTGCACTCATGTGTGTCTCCATGCACACTCTGCTTCCTGTTATTTGATGGAGCCAAGCAAGCAGAGTGCTTGCAAAGAGATTGAATTCTTGCTGCTTGTCTCTTCAGCTGTCGGTGCAGGTGATCAAAGAGCTCTTCTGCAGCATTTCATTCTCTATCTGTCCTTGTTTCCATTCTTTCTAGAGAGCAAAATAACATCTAAATATGAAACTTGTTGTTAGACCTGCCCCAGTACTAAGGGGTCTCTTGGTGCAGCGTTTATCAGCTGCTGATCTTGTTTCCATTTGAGGTCAGAGGCGTGTGCTTTCTAGTTCTTTGCTTCCTAATGCTGTTGCAGATAGGCCCACGTCTTCAAAAATAGCCTTTGATCATGAACATGTCATCTTTGTGCACGCAGCCATCTGTGCCCAGGAACGCGTAGGTTTGTGAAAGCAAACAGCTTTTGCACCTGCACATCTGTGAACCTGTTTCCTTTTCTTAAGCAGTATGATTTATGAGTAGGTTTGTAGACCCCTGAGAGATAAGGTTGATGGTAATGTTGACAAGAGGGGTGGTGGAAAGTGGAAATCCTGAGCATGGGCATGCATTGAGAAGTTGAGAGTGCTTTTGTCCCCCGTCGCTCTGATAGAAGGATGTACATAGCACTGAGACTTAGCAAGTCTGGGTTCAGTTTCTGCCTAGGCCTCAGACATGACCCATGGGACAGAATTTCTCACATTTACCCTTCTGCCTTGTTTTTTCCACGGTAATTTTTCCAAAACTCACTTAAGTACTGAGAAGCCAGAGTGCATCTGTCTCTGAAATGCCCAGCTGCTGTCCTGAGTAGCCCTTTGCCTTACAGGCTGACTGGTATTTGAAAGTCCCATCTCTGTCTTTGGAGGATGCAAGAGTTTGGCTCAGAGGGTTTCTGCTAGGCAGTGGTGGGGCTCAGTCCACTGTCTGCTCTAAGCAGTGTCTCCCCAAGGCACTCCACCTATACTGAGCAGTGATGCTAAAGCAGGAACTGGATCCTCTTGCTGGTGTTGGTACAGGAGCATTACACACGTGCAGCTACTCTTTGCTCTTGCCAGTGGGTGTGGAACAGCCTACCAGGTATCCTGGCTGTGTTCACAGCCAGGCACATGGTTGGCTTTGTTTTAAAAACATGGAGATGAGATTGGAGATGAATAGAAAGTACTCAGAGAAGAGCTGTGCCAGCATGGTTCCAACATCCAGCCAATTAATTGGGCAAAGGAACGAGAGCTGACAAAGAGGCAGCAGCTCTGAGGAAGTGGTTGGGATCTGCCAGCTGCCCAAGGGGAACTTTGTGAAAGCTTCAGGCTGGTGCCGAGGGCACAGCAGGAGTCAGGCTCCACCAGTGCAGAGTTCATGCAAATGGGCAGTTAAAAAAAATCCAAAACCTTCACATCAGTAAAGATCTTAAGTTATTTGGAGAAAGACTTTACCAAAAATGAATGTTGCCTCTCCACAGGTTTGGTTGCCCTAGCAGAAGGAGTGGGCAGGATGCAGGAGGGACCACAGTTGGAGGAACAGAGTCCTCCCTGTTTGTCCAGCTTTCTGCCTCTCTTCCCTAAAGATCCAAAAACTCGTGTCAGTGACAGGACACTTGTGTTCAGGTCCAGGATGACAGTTTCCATGTCCTTATTCTCTGCCTCCTTCTCCTCACCTGCCTGTTTCCACTCTTTCACATGCACTATCTGGAGTCCCAAAGGGAGTAGAGCCTTGTCTCCCCACCCAGAAGGCATCAGCACAAACTTTCCACCTCCTTTAGACTGTGCTCTGGCTCTCTGTGCAGAGAGAATTAGGACACTGTTTATGGAGGATTTCCTGCATGCCCTCTCGGTGTCAGCTCAGATTTCTCCTGGAGACTCCAGGTGCTGCATCAGGCTCCTTACCCTCACTAATTCAGTCATGCAACATCCAGGGCTGTATCAAGCTGAGGATTAAGGGTCCTCCATTCTCCTTAACTGCAAACAAAAGATAAATGAAATATCTAGTGTGATATGTGTAGCTTGAGAGCCTCTGTTCAACAAAGAGGCTGTTCTGAAACCTGAAATAGCTCTTTTAGCTTCAAGTGGAGTTATTTTACATTTCCCATTTCCTAAGGTTTAATACGATTAGGCTTTGGTCTGGTAATGTGTCTCCTGTGAATTGCTGTTACTGGGGAAAACTTATTGGTCCTTTCTGTCTGTTGGGAATGACTTTTGTGTGGTCAGGTTTAATAAGACACATCATATGCATATTCTTCAGGGAATTTGGCTTCAGCCTGTCAGCCTTTAATGTGTTGCTCTAGGTAGAAAGGACAATGTGTCTGGTTTTGTAAGCAGTCTGTTGTGATGGTTAAAGGAATGCTTCGATGGCAAAGCTACTGGAAAATGGAGGAAAAGTGCAGAAAAATGTCCTGTGGGGCTGAGTTTTTCTTGCTGCCTCCTTTTTTTTTTTTTTTTCTTCAACTAGTAAGTGCTGACTGGGATGTTTTGCAGCAAGTAAATTAATCTTCAACTTTGTTGTACTCCTTTTAACTGATGCAGCACCACTTGTTTCCCATTAAAGTGAATGAGACAGCAAAATCTACGTGTGCTTTACTGGGTGTATTGCACCTTAGCAAAGAGGCTGCCTCTGAGGGGCCTCTTCAGATCAGGCAGTTCTCTCTGAAAAAGGGCTTTTCCTTCTAATGTAATTGTTAAAACTTATGTTTCCATTACTTGTCTTATTGTGCACCATTCTGTACTGGGCAGAAGAGAGTGTCTGCCCTGGAGAGACTGAAACAAAGACCATGGGAAACCAAGTAGCTGATGCCTGGAAGGAGATGTCTAGGGGTGTGCTAGCCCCCAGTATGCCAGAGTCTTCACTGATGGCATGATGTTAGGAGGGGGAAAGAGCCCATGGGCCAGGTAGGGCATCCTCACAGCTGTAAGGAAGAAGCAGATCCTAACTTTGGCTGGCACTGGAGTTTGATTTGTGGTGAGTTCACAGAATCAGTTGGGTTGGAAGGGGCCACGATGGGTCATCTGGCCCTACTTGAGTTGCCTCCTTCTTAGCTTTGGTTTCCTCCCAGCAGGACCCTCCATGGAACTGGAAAGACAAATTGCCTGGTGTGTGCACTAAGTGCTTTTCCGAGTATTTAAGTAATAGAGTGTTAGGAACACTTTTCTTTTTGTTTAAATCTGGTCAGTCTCTCCAAGACAAAATTACTTCATGCAGAAACCACAAATAGGAGAGTAATAGGTCCTGTCTAAGCTCCCTAAGGAGACAATATGTGATTTTTATGCCTGAATGGGGACATTTTTGTTTCTTAAGGTCAAGCCCTAGCAATCGGTTGGTTTAGACCTATGGATCAGGGTGATTCAGCAGTTGGTTTAGGAGCCATCCATCAGTTGCAGTCTCATAATCCCAGGATAAGTCAATTTGGAGGGAGCCTTAGGAGATCTTTGGTCCAACCTCCTGCTCAAAGCAGGGTCAGCCATGGGATCAGACCAGGTTGCTCAGACAGGTTCCAGCTGGGTGTTAAAGCCTCCAAAGACAGAGGTTGCTTTGCAGGTCTGGGCAGCCCTGGAACTCAGGCTGGTCACCTAAGGAGCCTTCTGCTCTCTTTTGTTACAGAATGAAGAGGAAGAAATCAAGCTGGAGATAAATATGCTAAAAAAGTACTCCCATCACCGGAATATTGCTACGTATTATGGTGCTTTTGTAAAGAAAAGTCCTGCAGGCCAAGATGATCAGCTCTGGGTAAGTGTTCAGTGTCATCTCTGTTCATCAGATTTACAGCTCCTTCCTTTAGAGCTCCAGTGTGCTTGGCTTGGACCCTGTCTCAGCAAAGCTCTGAAGTCATTGTTCTGAAGAATAACATATAAAAGAGAAAAATTGCTCCTCTCTAGACATCCTCCATCCCCTATGATTCCCTTTGAGGATGGGCATAAAGTATGTTATGATACTTGTGGCTTCTGCTGTCATTCTGATTTATTGTTTGAGCCCTTTTTTCCCCCAAATTAAACACTTCTGTATTTATTTTTGTTACAAACGTGAAAGGGCTTGTCCTTTTCCCCTACTCTCCTTTTTCTTGTTGCTTTTTTTCTCCTTTTTTTTCAGCTGGAAAATAAAAAAGGGAGCAGAGGAATTAGCGATAAAGCAAAGATGAATAATGAATCCTCCAATTTTTTTGGCTGCATGACTCTTGAAGCTCTGCAGCAAAACGAGAAATTTCAAATTTTTAAAGAACTCCTATGTTTTTCAATGCTGGTAGCTCTTGCTTTTCTGATTTTGCAGTTTATAGGTAAAAACCCTACCTATAACCAGCAATAGGAGAGGAGCACTATTGGGGGTTTTATTTATTCAGCAATGTGTGTGATTCAGGAAACAAGATTGAAGTCTCTTGGCATCCGGGAAGGCTATGTGTAGTTTACCACACCTGGGTTGTGGTGGAGTGGGTGTTCTGCACGTGGTATCTGTGCTGGCACCCTGCCAGAGCTGTGGTGAAGGTGCACTGTGTTTGTCTCCCGGCAGCTGGTGATGGAGTACTGTGGTGCAGGCTCTGTCACTGACCTGGTAAAGAAGACAAAAGGGAACTGTTTCAAGGAAGACTGGATTGCGTACATCTGCAGAGAGGTTCTCAGGGTGAGTCCTGCCAGCAGAGCTTTGTTGCTCATTTGCAACAAAAAAGGCCTTTCCAAGCCTTTGGTTGCTAAAATAGGTCACTAATGAGCATTATTGTTTAAAGGTTGTGATCCATGGGGCTCATGGGCTGTGGTCCTTGAGTTCAGAAGAGCCCTGAGAGCCAGCATGATGGCTGCTTGACATCCCATATTGTTGTAGTTAATCCCATTTTCTGTATGAAGAACAGAAAATTCCTGTTTCCTATGGCAAATAGCCATCTTCTGAAATTCCAGACACTGAGCTTCTAGAAAAGTAAATACATTTTCTGTTTGCAGTAAGTCTGTCCTCCAACATCAGGAAATCTTACTGCTCATTGCTTCAGCTGTTCATGCTGTGTAAGATCTTTCTGTTCATAATTCCTTTACCTTCACACAATTCCTACCCCTGCACACACAGGGGTCTCTTTTCCACACTCTTAGAGGCAATGTTGACTAAGCAGCGTTCCAAAATCTCAAAGGTGGCCCTGCTGGGACAATATTCCCCAAGACAGTTCTTGGGGCTGTATTTCATTCTATGCAGGCTTAGAGCTGCTTTCTTCTTTCTTTTTTCCTTTTTTTTCCCCTGGAAAGTACAGAGGATAAAACAATTCCCAAGTGTAATCTAGTGAACTAGCCTGGAAAAAAAAATATAATGTTGGAACCTGTCATTCTAAATTCAAAACCCATTACAGAGTTACTGATCTGTCTTCCTTGTAATGGAGTTTTACATCTTTCCTAAATTAATGGTAAGATAAATATGTATTCTGGGAGCTGGAATTCAAATGGCATGCCAAAGAAATGGTTGAATAGGGGTAAAACTTTGTTTCTGGAGCATAGGAGTTGAGAAACATGCTCAGTAGAGAACATTGGCCATCTTAGAGGGATTTGGCACTAATCTGCAGATTTTATTAAGTATAGTTGGAGAGTGTGGGGAGAGCTCTTCTGTAAAAGAGAAAAATCCTTAATGGTGTGGTCAAGTTTCTCCTCATTGGTGTGGCTGTAGTATCTCTCTTAAAGCAACTGATGTTAAAATATTTGGTTTACACTCATGCAGCTGAAAACCATAGCAGCATGCTGCTAAAAGCAAGTGATTGGATTTAATCATGCTTGTTTCAAAACAGAATGGCCCAGTTGCACATGGATTGACAGTGTTTCCTTCTGGAAAATTTACAAGCTGAGTGGAAGCTCTATTTGAAGCCAGTAATATTAGAGAGGCTAAATATTTTGAGTGAAGCATCCCTGGCTTATTGTAATGGGTTATTTCAGTGTGTTCCTTTATATCTATGCTAGGTCAACCATGGGCAATTTCGAAATGAAGGAGGACACAGAATACTACAAATATTAGCTGATTGAAAACAGTATTTGCTGCATTCAAAAAGAGGACTGACATGGTATTTTTAACTTTCTGTAGCCCATTTACCATTGAATGTACTATTTTGCTGAATGCAAAATTTAAACCAGTATGACCAGCCAGCTGCTACCTCTGGTCCTCATACAGACCATTCTGCTTTGTTCCTCTTTGTGGAGCATCCCTTGATTCTGAGACAGAAGCTTAAAATATTGCTACCTAGTTCTCTTCACACTTGACTTCAGAGACGCTCCAGTATTGTCAGGCCTGTGGTAAAGAAGACAATCAAACTTGCAGTCGCTGACATCTCTCCTCTGTGATAATGGGGTCTTCATGTAGCTAGTAATATCTAAGAACTTTTCTTACATATAAAGTCTGAAAAGGTTAGAAGTGCACAAATGCAACAGTACCACAGTCATGGTAATGTTATGAAGAAAGAAAAAGGAAAGTCTGGTTTTCTTTTAGGGCTTGGCACATCTTCATGCTCACCATGTCATCCATCGAGACATTAAGGGACAGAATGTTCTTCTGACAGAAAATGCAGAAGTAAAATTGGGTAAGTTTCCTTAAATGTGTGCTAGAAACCTGTTTTTTAAAGTTTAAGATTTCAATCTCATCTCAGAAAGAACCTTCAGTAACCTGAGAGCAACAAGTATGCCAAGTAGCATTAATGCTTGTGTTTATAAGGTGTCTGTCATGTAGACAGAGCTGAAAATATGACATGTTCTATGAGGATGTCACTCAGCCTGTGGGAAATACAACTACTTCTGGGCAGCCAAACATAGAACCTGTCTAGTAAGTCACAGCACCATCAGGCCTTCACAGCAGATCCTGACATGCAAAGACTCACAAAGTAAAAAAATTGGGAGAATGAATTGCACTAATCCATTTTCCTGAGGGAAGTGGTCTTAGAGATGTTCATAAATCTGACAATAAGTGAAATTACTCATGTGTGAAAGAGTGAAATGACTCATGTGTGAAAGCTATCACTGAACTAAGAGTCACCTCCCAAAAAAAGCTGGAGGGTTTACTCATTTCCTTTTCTTCCTGTGACATGTCATGTCCTTCATGTTTTGGAAAGACATCACAGAACACATGGCAATGATTTAAGGGGTAGCTCTTATTCAATTCATGATGATCTTTATGGTCCCTCTCTCTTTAATTGAAAAAAATATCACTGTAGAGTTGGAAAACAGAAGTAGTAAACATGGCTCATGGATGTGAGGTAGGATGTTTGGTTGGAGCATGTAAAAATAAGTACTTTAAATCTCATTATGGTTTAATGTTGTGGTGAAAACCTGGCATCACTGAAGTCAAAGGGAGTTTTGCTGTTGTATTGCATGAAGGCAGGATCTTGCTTGTAGTCTTTAAAACATATGTATGAGTTGTCAACTGTTCCCTCTTAAAATAAGTGAGGTGAGGGTGTTGCACATGTTTATGGTCTTGTATAGTTACTAATTCCACCTTTCTTCATGTGGTTGGCAAGAAAGTTAAACCTTTCTAACTCTGAGTAAAGATGAAACAGATTTACTAAGTATAGCGATTTTTTTAAAAAAAGAGTTGTTTCCAGAGATATTTAGCTCATGTGTCCTAAAGTGTTGGGAAAGGTGAAGGTTCCGCGCGGGGAAGCAAGCGGCCGACTCCGTGTGGGTGATACAGCAAGCTCCATCTTTATTGTCCGACAG